GGAGGAGAGTGAAACCCAGCTGTTGGAAAATCTAGATAAGTGGTTTCTAGCTAGTCATTTATGGTAATTTGCTGGTTAAACAGCAGGACTACTAGCTGGTGAATTAGGTTTTACCGTTGTAGACCATCTTGCTAAGGATGGTTAAGACTGGTAGACCACCTTGCACCAGCAAATAAACCCAGCTTCCATGTCCCAAACCCCCTCATGTTCTGTTTTTGAGCCATTTTAATATATTGTAAAATGTTATTAAAGGATTAGTTCACCCTAAAATGAAAATTCTCTCATCATTTACTCACCCAAGTTTTGGGTGAATGGACTTTTAATGGAGGGACAAAAATCCAATTTTCATAAACAAAGAATTATTATTATTTTTTGGGGGTGTGCTATCCCTTTAACATTTTAATATGAGACATCTTAATATGAATATCATTTCTTAATATGATTATAAACTTGATGACACACTTACACCATTTCCTTTAGGAATGTTACGCATTATGACCATTACACAATGCAATGAATGTTAATATTCTCAGATTCTCTGAATGATGTACATACTACAGCAGTACAACACTATCAGTTTTTTATATTTTAAAGGGGTCATATGATGCGATTTCAAGTTTTCCTTTCTCTTTGGAGTGTTACAAGCTAAAGTTGCAAAGACTAAAGTCTCAAACCCAAAGAGATATTCTTTATAAAAGTTAAGACTCGTCCACGCCCTCCTAAAACGTCTCATTTAAACACACCCCCACATATCTACATCACTGTGTGGGAAGATTTGCATAACACCGCCCAAATGTTCACACAAAGAAAGAAGGCCTGTCATTTCTCCGATCACAAATGCAGACATGGTTTTTGGTTTACGCGGCACGCGGCACGATGCAACGCAACGCGTAAAAAGACAGTATAAGTCATTATAATCAGTAATTATGTCCCCACTGGATGCTACAAATGCCTCGTTTGTAATGGGTTTTATTGGTTTTGTCTCGTCGCAACGGGACATGGCATCACAGTATGGTAGGGGTGTAACATTTCCGTCACAGGCTTGAGGTATTCGGCCAATCACAACACACTGAATAGCTGGCCAATCACAGCACACCTCACTTTTTCAGACCGATGAGCTTTGTAAAAATCAACGCGTTTCAAAAAGGCGGGGCATAGAGGAGAAA